AAAATGAGTCAAATACGTATCAACCCAATTAAAAAAAAAATTTGAACAAAATTTTTGATTTTTTTTTCAAAATATCCAAGAAAATGCAAAAATGAAAAAAAAATGTCCAAATTCCTAAAAAGTTGATTTTTTTATAATTCAACGTTTTAAAAATTTTCAAACAAAGTTAATATTTAAAAAAGCTTTCCAAAATTGTAAAAAACATTTTTTAAAAATTCGCAAAAAAAAAAACAAATATTGAGTCGGATATATATCAAAAAGTGATTTTAAACATTTGTATTATCAAAAAAATGTTTTTGAATTAATTTTGTTTTCAAATTGAAAAAAAAATCAAATTTTCGAGTTTTTAAAAGTAATTTTTTAATTTGGACATTTTCACAAAACTCCAAATGAAAGAAATAATTTTTTTTCAAATCGGCGGCTAAAATATCAAAAATCAGTCGGATAATATTAAAAAAGCGATTTTAACAATTGTATTTTTTTTTTGAGAATCATCAAAAACAATGAGTTTGAATAAAATTTTAGATTTTTAAATTTTCAAAATTTTCAAAAAAAGTTTAGATTTTTCAATACTCTCAAAAAACTTCATTTCTTCAACTTTAATGTTTATATAAAATATATTAGAAATATATATTATTTAAATATCGAAAATGGGTCAGATATATACATCTGAACAAAATACATTTTTTCCAAAAAAATTTAAAAAAATTTGAAAGTTTAAAAAAAAATTCAAAAGAAAAAAAATCATTTTTAAAAAATCTCAAAAATCGAAAAATTACGAAAATGGGACGAATTTTAACTTGGGTCTACAGTTAAGAAATGTATAAATAATATTTATTATATTCGTCATGTTAAATCTAAATAAATCTCAGAAATATGATAAGGTCTTTTAATTCTAAGCCCGTTTAATCAAGTTTTGTTTATTAACTTTTCACAAAAACATGTACCAACGTTGTCGTCCAATTTATAAGCTCTTATATATATATTTTTATTATTATTATTATTTGAACAGCGATCAGAAGTTATGGGTTCTATGAGCTGTTGTGATTAATATTTTACAAACTACGTTTGTTTTT